GTAGTAGTAGTAGTAGTAGTAGTCGTAGTAGTAGTAGTAGTAGTAGACCGTGGTTCTTGGCCGGCCGGCCGGCCGGCCGGCTGGCTGGCTGGTCGAGAAATAGCGGGCCGCGATAAGCTCGCAATGTAAAGACGACAGCGCTAAAGACTAAAGACGAAAGACAGATCATAAATTTCACATTCAACCGTGCAATGAATCTAGTGTTCTCTTGGGGGGATAAGTGTGCGTTGAGCAGAAGCTTCTTGCCAAGAAGAAGGTCACTGTGACTATTTGCTTCTAATGTGGCACATGCTTAGGCCATGACCAGCTGTGCACGAGCTCATAGCGCCACTCAGGTGCATCCACTCGCAAGCAGCGGACCTTCAGAACAGAGCATCAAGGGTAAAGATCAGCTTGCCACATAGACAAGTCAGGCTTTTTTGACACCTACAAGTTAATCAAATCCTGGCATGGGTCCAACAACATGTTGAGTTTGGTCGCCTCCAGAACATGATCTGGTATCAACCGGCCAGACCTGTCAGACGCTACTGGAACCAAATGGCCACAGAAACCAAACAGTTGGCTGCACCTGTACTCCACAAAGGGCATCACAGGCAACTTGATGATATTTGGAGCACCGGCCTCTGGCATGTGAGCCAACCAGTCAGCGTTGCTTGTCTGGTGTAATGGTTTCTCATCCAGCCTTGAGTGTGCTCCAGCACAGCAGTTTTTTTGTAGGGACCCAAGGATTTGCATGCTTGAACCTCCGGGCATCTTAAGTTTTCCAGACTCTGTATACCATACACGCTCAAGGGTCTCAAAGGATGGTTTTGGGCCTGCAAGGCACGCAGAGTCCCGACGAGCTGGAAGCCGAGGGAGAGCTTACCAAAGGCATTTTGCATCCTCTCAATTCATTGACACACAGCTTACTGCAAGGCAAACAGTATGCTTTCTGGCGATGCGCCTTCACATTGACTCCCAGGCGGTGGAGGTGCCTTCGGCAAGAGTTGAAAGGCAATTCTCTAGTTCCAACGAAGCTGTGCCAATTTGTGTGGCGTTGGTTCGCACAGGCCTTGGCCGACGCTGGTTCCGGCGGTGGCGCTGGCTCGGGAGGCGGCGCTGGCTCAGGCGGCGGCGCTGGCTCTGGCTCGGGAGGCGGCGCTGGCTCCGAAGGTGGTGCAGGCTCAGATGCGGTCGCCGGCGGTCTGGCAAAACATGGCTACTGACCAGATGCAGTTACTAGGAACAAGAAGCTACTAGGGGCTCCTGGCCGTACTACTAGGAGCAAGGACGCTACTAGGGGCTCCTGGCATCGCTACTAGGAGCAAGGACGCTACTAGGGGCTCCTGGCCTTACTACTAGGAGCAAGAAGCTACTAGGGGCTCACTACATGCCCTGATCATGACCCAAAGGAGTGATACATGAAATGCATCGCCAACAGTTGCCAACAGTTGCCAACACTCCCAAGCGAGCATTGCACACGGAGGCGCATCTGCCTGCACAATTGCTTTGAAGCGTTGAAAGCTATGTATAGAAACATTCAAGTGGCCAAGCTTGGACCAAGACTGCTCTGCTCCTTTTTCAGTGAATTCAATCTGCTCTCAATAAAGAAGTTCCTACTTTCAGACAGTGACTGGTATGAGCCTGTGCAACCCAGACTGTTGCTGGAAGGGCTCAAGGTGACACAAGCCTCTCCCTTCAAAGACACGGAGATATATATATATATATTCAAAGGACGGTCACCACAAAATATCGGTTTACAAGACATTCTGTGCAAGCTCCAAAAGGCCATCTATGTCTTCTCCATAACTGGCTCTGTACATATCGTGGCTCATTCTGCGTAGTGGAGCACTCAAGTTGGAAGCCTGCGAGCAGTGTGCTGAAAGTCTGACTGTTGCTACAGAGCATTGACATCAGCTTCAACTGTCCTGTCCTGCCCTGCCTGCATGAAATGTGCTGGTGCCTCTTCACACATCCCTGAGCTTTTTCCGACCATCATAGGTCGACTTGCTCTGCGTCTCGGGACTGCAGAGTGCTCGGCCAAGTAGCACGGGGTGAGTTGGGAGGTTTTGGTCCAACTGACTTCGCGAGTGCTGCGCAAGTTGATGCTGCACCAGGAAGCTGAAGAGAAGCACCACAAGAGCCAGGGACTCGGTGGGCACCCAAAGGCCTCGATCCGCCAAGGTGCTGCCTGTACTGTGCGCCATGAGGGTTGCCAAAGGCATCAGTCCAGCATCCAAAGAAGCTGCAGTGATGGCATCCGAATGTCGAAGCACAGCAAGCCTTGAAACGGTGTCAGCAGTGCCCAGGAAGAGAACTGCTGCGGTCATCACTGCGAAATCCAACCGCATCGACTCTGACTCCGTCCACGGACTCCACATATCGGGACTCCATGGACTCCACGGCTTAAGAGCCAAGTGTGACTGGCCAAGCATCATTGGCAAGACCAGCATCGAACCAAAGAATCCACTGAATCCTCCGACGAAGAAAAGCCCGCCCAAAGAGTTTTCGACTCCTGCTTGTTGCAGCAGAAATGCACCCGCAGCGCAACGAAAGGCTCGACATAAAGCAGCAGCTCCTACAGCTGCAAAGAGCAGGTTGTCTCCACAGAGACGAGTTGGCGGCATCAGTGGCGTTGCAGCCTCTTCTCCAAAGGAAGCCAGGATTGAAGCCGAAGCCAGACCCAATGCTGTGGGAAGAGAGAAGAGAACTGCACTGCTCACCTCAATCTCCAAGTGGATTCTTTCGCTGCATCTGATTTCATAAAGCAAACAAGTCTGCTAATGCAAAGCAGGTGCTGTGGCAAAGTAGGACACCTGCACACGATATGCAATCAACGCAGCGGACAGGCCGGCTGCTAGTGGAATGTCAGCAGCTCGAACCACAGCCAGTATCACCCCCTGCCTTCGCAAGCGCTTGGAACTATCACAGCAAACTCATATTGATCAAATACAGACTCACATTCCAAGTCGACATGCCCGCTCCTATTGGCGGTATTGCCACAGCCCTGCGTCACAAAGAAATCCAAGGATGACGAACATCCATCTAAAACGCCCAACAAGGCAGCAGCCGCAATCGCTCGTCCGGTGACTGCTGCTGATGTGAACCAAGCCTTAACTGCATGTATCAGTTCGCTATTAGGTTGGAGGCCATCGCTTCTAGGTCTAGGTGGAGTCCATCGCTATCAGGTTGGAGGACATCGCTTCTAGTATCAGTTGAGACCGGGGTTCCAAGAAGGCCGTTCAAGCCTTGCTGTGCCAATTTGAGTGCAAGCAAGAGGCTCCCTCCAAGTGCCTAAACCAAAGAGCTCCCATCATCAGAACAGGCCATGCAATCCAAGGGAAGGTGACTGGGGGCAATGGGGTTCCTCCGGAGATGATGCCCGAGGAGATGCATGCCTGAAGTAGCGGTGAAGTACAGCAGCACAGGACCCAAGAGTGTCAATTTCAAGAAAAAGAACAGTAGGGAGTCGGCAGCAAAACTATTCATCAAGCAAGTCCAACAAAAACAAATCTCCCTGTCTATCTATCCCTTACTCCACTTGGTGTAATTGGTCTTGCCTTTTTCCCACTTGTTATGAACATGCATAAGCCATCATAAGCCATTCCCCATATTCTCCCGTATGTCCTCTCCGAATTTCATCCACTTCCAGAGAGCCTGCAGTGCTCGAAGTGCCACAGTGCAGGGGAATAAGATGCAGGCCACCAACGCTGTAGCAGGAGCTGGCCATGGCAGTTGTTGCCTCTGAGCAAAGAACTTTGTCCTGCACGAGACGAGAATCCGGTTAGTCGCACTTCGATCAAGAAAGTTATAATTTGGGAACAAAGCAATCAAAAGCCCTGGGTGTCATTCTCCAATGCTAGCGCTGCGAACAAAGCTGTCCTTCTATTCTTGCCCACCATGCCCCTCCAAAAGCCCGCTGGGTGCAGGCGCGAGGGCCCCGAGGGCCTAAAAAACCGCTTCAGCTCTTTGAGCCGCTTGAGCCGCCCAGAAACCGCCGAAAAGATTGACCTCCAACGACAAAAGACTTCAAACGACGAGTAAAGATCTTCGGGAGCTTTCGCGTCTCATATTCGCCTCTCCACCTTGCTCTTCTTCAAGAGCATCCCACAGCTCATCATCTGATGCCATGTGGCCTCGGGGCGAAAACAACACAGCTGAGGAAACAAAAGGCTTTGCTCATGAGCATCCGGCGGACAAGACAAGCTCAGTTCAAAAGGTGGCTCCACAGAAAGGACTCCGCGCATTCCTTGCATTCCATACCTTCCTTGACATCTGTTTGCATGGTTCAATGGTTTGCCACCTTTTGCAAACAAGGATTGAAAGTCTAACTCTTCTCTCTGTATAGCTGTCTTGGCTGCTTGGGGTAATGGCAGACACCAGACATGCACAGAAAGCGTTGCAATAAGACCAACGATGTTGCACTTGCTCCTTTCTTGCCCATTGTAATCTTAGTTGCAGTTCATGTCGCACAACAATGCTGTGGGCCAGGAATTAGCGTCTCGATGCTGAAGAAGGGGAGGAAAAAAAACACAATCCAAAGGCATTTATACTCGCTTCAAAACAGCAACTATCGAAGGCAGCACATTTGTCGAATCGATTTGCGCTGGTTCAGCCCTTGCGAGCCCTTGAAGGAGTTCGACGGCACGGTTCGCCTTGCGGAAGAGCAAAACTTTGTTGCAGAATAATGTTTAAGCATTTAGTGCCGCTACAGCGATCAGTGCCTCGTGAGCTGGAACATACACATGATCATGGTGGAAGGCAGCGACCACATTTGCACCTCGCTCTTCAGCTTCGTCAGATTCGGCTGCTGAGTTCCACCCTTGAGGCTCCAACTGAGTCCAGCATCCCTCAGGGCCACGGCCACTGCAGCTGTGAGTCCAACAGCCTGGTGTGGTGGGGACTGAGGTGGCCAACACGCAACCCACATGAACTAGGACACGCAACCAGTCTACATGCGCGTACCCTCTCCTCTCGCTCTCGCTCTCGCTCTCGCTCTCGCTCTCGCTCTCGCTCTC